GGGGCTGACCTCCAGACTGGACTTGGGCAGGCTCAGGAGGATACATTTAGCAGTGCAGCATGAATGAGATCAAGACCTGGAAGCAAAATTGGGTGGAAGATGGAGATCTGAGGAGACCTTGGAGGGGTCCCCTAGGTCTAGGGGGGCTAGCCTCTAGGGGGGCTAGCCTCCAAGTTGGGCTCAGGCTGTTTCAGGAGGGTCCATTCAGCAGTATGGTATGAACAGAATCAAGGCCTGGGAGCAGTGGGAGCAAGGAGGACGGAGTGAGTACATCAGTCCACCCTGGGATTCACAAGGGGGGAGGCTGCCATATATAGCAAGCTTTCAAAGAACAAATCCTTTATCCTTGTCCTGGTAGATATTCCAAGCAGCCAGGAGGACCGGTAGTGTCTGCAGGCTACGGAGCTGGGAGCAGTTCTACAGGGAAGAGGAGGTACCTCTACAAGAAATTAAGCTGCTTTTTGATGGGCTGCGAGTTCCACGACCTATAAAGGGCTGTGGCTACAGATCTGTAAAAACTGACAGCTTTTAAGGAAAAACAACAGTCCACACAACAGGATCCATTTTTGTACATAGGAAGGAATTTGTCTCCTCTTCATTGATTCAAGCCATACTGGGCATCCCATAATCCCTCCTACCCTATCCTAGTTATTTCTCCTAATAAAATAACAAAACCAAGCATACAGGCTGTTCACTGACTCTGAATGCAAAGTGTGGAAGGAAAAAAATGTGTGTTGTCTGCCTGTGCATCTTTTAGCGGCTGACCATTTGGAAACTCGGGCACTGCCCGAGGGCCCGGGGTCAGTAGGGGGCCCCATGAGATGCCCCTGGAACCTTTTTCATAGGCTTTATTGAGTTTGGGCAAGGACACAGGGGCCCCATGATCCCCTATTGCACAGGGGCCCCATGAGTTGTCAGTCCGCCCCTGGCGGTACCCACAACATAGCTGCTCTCATGAGAGTAGTGCTACACCTGTGATTGACTATTTTTTGCAAAGCAAAGCTTCACCTCGTTTACTTAGCTGTGAAGTAAAAGCTCTTGCAGAATGCAACTGCACTTGCACAGTCTGTTTGCCTTTATTAAATCAACTCCACTGAAGACCTATTATAAGTACTGCTATCATGTCATTGTTACTGCAGCAAAGTTACTCAAATCTAGCATCAAAAATGATACTATCAGGATGACATGATAACATCATCATGCATGTTATGCGTGTGCAAAGGGAGTCTCATTGGTTAGTATTCCAATCCTATCGCGGATACAGGGGTTGTAACCTATAAGGAAGGGGAACCGTGCTTTGCTTTGTATTTTTCTTAAATTAGCTGAACAGTCAAAAGTAGCACCTGCACTTTCCCATTCAGCATTCTAGTGCATCCAGTATTTTCCTTATATTTTCTTCCAGCAAAACAACAGGCTGTCCTTGGAAATCTCTGTGTTTACCATGGACAACTCAGAAATGCCTCTATCCCTTTCAATCCAAGCTCAGCACCACAGTTACCTTGGGAATATCCCTGTGCCCCAAATGTTGACCCAGTATTACATTGTATCCTGAAATAGTATCATCCTTCCCTTAGACTTAATGATGCAGTCTTCTTGGAAATTTCACTACCAGGCATACTGTTGCCCTTCATACTTTAGAAATTATATTATACAACAACCTGTTTGTAATCTGTGTGGTGATCCTAACACCAAACACACATTACAATCTCCTCTTGTGATGTATTTTACTGAACCCGGCAGGAGCTACTGGATATGGGTTCTCTTTTCTGCCCATACTATTTAAGCTGCTCGGACGCCACTGACACATCTGTGTAACTTAAAAGTTAGTATTCTCCACACGCAACTGGATGGTAAAGTAAATGGGTGTTATATGGCAGTGCAGTTAAACAGTGTGTGCATACATAAACAGGCAATTGAGCATGTTTAAAGATGCTGTATTAGATAATGTGAAAACTGACCCATAAGATGGCAATCAACTGAACCATAGTGCTAAACTAAATTATAACCGGTGCAAACAGGGTTAATAGTATAAGCATTAATTAAACTAAAAGGTAAAGGTCTTCATGTGCACACTATACATACAGGCCCAATAGCGGGTGGGTGTATGTGTTCCTAACAAAGGGGTACCCCTGGAGGTGGCTAGAAATTTCCTGGTGCCCTATGTCAATATTAGCCGGCTATCATTGGGGCCCTTCTGTAAGGTGGTGTACATGTAGATGTTGCTTTAAGAGTGTGAAATGGATGACTGAGGGGCTGCTAAACTATGAGCAGTCTCTTTTGTATTAACTATGTTACTGTTGAGATATGCACAGATGGTTCAGCTCACCCCTCCTGATACACAGGACTCTGGTCCAAATAACTTGGCCATCTACTGTTCTCAGGTACCTGGTGGGGCCCAGTAACTCAGTTCTCATGAACAGGTCCTCATAGGGCTCAGTCTCTCAGGTGATCTGTCCTCTCTATTGTAGGCACACACAGCAATGGGTCTCCCAGCTCTGGTCCCAAGCTCAAGCAATTGATCTCTCTGTGGCTCAGTACTCAGGCTCTTATGGACACAGCAAGGGCACCTGATCTCTATGCAGGTCCAGCAAAGGCAAAGGCAAAGGGTTCACGTTCTCTGGTCCCCACATTGTTCTGAGATGGCACCCTGGTCTGTGCACAGTCCCAGCCAAGGCCACAAGTCCATACAGCTTGCTCTTGCATAACACCCAGATCCCTCCAGAATCGCCCTGAAAAAGTCCTATCTCTCCTCCTCTGTTGTGCAGGCAATACAGGGTAATAAAGCCCACCACTCTGTCAGCCTCCCTTCATTTTCATCACACTGTGTGTGCCCCTTTAGGGACTATATTTCCCAGAATCCATGGTGTCTGCTGCATAGCAAGTCCTCTTGCCACTAATTGGGTCAGATCCTCTACCGCCAGGAGGGAGTGGGGGCAAGAACAAGTTGGGATTTCACACAGAGCCGCCTCTGCTCACACAGCAGCTAAGTGAGGGTGAGAGGAACACAGCCTTCTCTGCTCACCCAGCAGGGAAGTGAAGGGTAAAAGGAACATGGCTTGCAAGGGAGGAAGGGGTAAGATCCGGCTGTTGGGGTGGGGGGGGGGAGTAAGAGGGAGCTGGACACAGCTGGCAGAGCACCTGGCTACACATTGATTAAGATGTTTTCATTGTATTATCAATAAGTATCACTTTGTAATGTGAATGACAACCTAACACAAGTCATAGTTTATGGTTGTATCAGTGTGACACTGTTTGCAAAAGAGATGGATCAAGAACTACATTTTACAGAGAGGAATGAAGAGATAAAAGATTTTTGGGTGCTGTGCATAATGCAGATGCATAAGAGAAGTATGAGTGAAATACAGCTTGTAATACATAGGGGCATTGGGCACTGTTTATAATTGAAAGATATGAGGCAGTGTTTGTAACACAGAGGCATGAGACACTGCATGAAATGCTGAGACATAAAGCACTGCATGCAAAAAGGGCATCGAGAGTGAAATTGAGAGGTATAGGATAGTGCATATAATAGGGAAATAAAAGGCATTGCCTGTGATAGAGAGGCAAGATGCACTGTGTGTAATAGAGCTATGAGCTATTGTTTGGAATTCAGAGGTAACAGTATAGAAATGTGATCTACAGCTTGCAATACAATGTTATAAGGAACTGTAAATAAAGAAGTATGGGACACTGTCTGTAATAGAGAGGTATGAGGCACTGTATATTATTGAGAAACATGAATGAATATGAATGCTGCCCCTGCAACTACAGCTGACACTCTGTAAGTCTTTTGTTCAAAATCTCACAAATATATAATATATAACGTTCGTGGGAATCTTTCCCATCTAATAGCATGCAGCAACATCCCTGAAGAAAAGAGAGCCTCTCTCCTGAAACATGTTGACTTGATGGTTTTGTCGCTACTCTCAATAAATGATTCTTAATCTGTCAACAAAATTGTGTTCTTTTGGACACTGGGTGCTCCTTCTTTTTTATTATTCCAAAACGGAAAATATGAGGCACTGTAATAAAGTAGCATGAGATAATATGGTGTCTATGTATAAACAGTTTGCTTTGCGAATATCTCAGTATTCACTTAAAGGTCACAAATAATATCCGGAATATTTGTCATATGTGTGTAATGACAGTTTTGTTTTGTTGCCTTTCACTGGGCAAATGTAACATTTACTAACATTTGATCCTAAGAGAATAAAGCCTTAAAAACATGCGGCCAGAAAAGTTAAAGAACATTGGATAATTAGAGAAAATAGTCCAACACTATAGGCTAAGAAAGTTTGACCAGAAAAGGAAAAAATAAGAGGGAGAGCTCATCAATATATTGTCAGTAACGTCACCTGGGAGACCTTGCCCCTTTGGTTCATTTAGCAGTGGGGCCAAAGAGCTGTCACAAGTGAAGCAACTGGATTTGGGTGTGTCAGAGGGTTTTTTTTTTTTCTTCCAGTGGTTCAGTGGGCATTCATTGTAATTAACAAAAAATCTGCATCACTGGATGACATGATTAACAGGCAATTTACAGTATGTTTTTTTTTTTTTTTTTTTTTTAAGAACTTTTAAAGGCCCGAAAGCTATGATCATTCTGTGGAACTCCAATTTACTTGGCCGTTTGTACAGGAATCTCAATATATTGTACACAGTTCAAAGGCCTCCCTCATATTATTTACTCTTCTGGTCGAATGTTCTTAGCCTATAGTGTTAGACAATTTTTTTTTTACTTGTCAAATGTTCTTTTACTCTTCTGGTTGAATTTTTCTTCAAAGCATTGTCTCTTAAAATCAAATGTTATGGATTGTTACATTTGCCTGGCGAAAGGTAACAAAAACAAAAGTGATGTGGCTAACGCATAAACATGCCAGACAATAATTTGTTCCTGCTGTCTATTTAAAAAAAAAAAGAAGAAGAAAAAAATATTATATATATATATATATATATATATATATATACTGTATATATATACTGTATTGCCGAAAGTATTGGAACACCCTTCCAAATTGTTGGATTCAGGTGTTCCAATCACCGCTAAGGCCACAGCTGTATAAAATCAAGTACCTAGGCATGCAGCCTGCTTCTACAAACATTTGTGAAAGAATGTGTCACTTTCAGGAGCTCAGTGAATTTAAGCATGGTACCGTGATAGGTTGCCCCCTGTGCAACAAGACCATCCATGAAATTTCCTTGCTACTAAATATTCCACGGTCAACTGTTAGTGGTATTATAGCAAAGTGGAAGCAACTGGGAACAACAGCAACTCAGCCACAAAGTGGAAGGTCACGTAAAATGAAAGAGCGGGGTCAGCGCATGCTGAAGCACACAGTGTGCAAAAGCCACCGAATGTCTGCAGAGTCAATAGCTAAAGACCTCCAAACTTCATGCAGCCTTCAGATTAGCACAACAGTGCATAGAGAGTTTCATGGAATGGGTTTCCATGGCCGAGCAGCTGCATCTAAGCCTTACATCACCAAGTGCAATGCAAAACGTCGGATGCAGTGGTGTAAACCACTCCACCCCTGGACTCTAGAGCAGTGGAGAAGTGTTCTCTGGAGTGACAAATCATGCTTCTCTGTCTGGCAATCCGATGGACGTGTCTGGGTTTGGTGGTTGCCAGGAGAATGGTACTTGCCTGACTGCATTGTGCCAAGTGTAAAGTTTGGTAGAGGGGGAATTATGGTGTGAAGTTGTTTTTCATGGATTGGGCTTAGCCCCTTTAGTTTCATTGAAGGGAATTCTTAAAGCATCAGCATACTAAGGCATTTTGGACAATTTCATGCTCCCAACTTTGTGGAAACAGTTTGGGGATGGCCCCTCCCTGTTCCAAAATGACTGAGCCCCAGTGCACAAAGCAAGGCCCATAAAAACATGAGTGATTTTGGGGTGGAGGAACTTGACTGGCCTGTGTAGAGTCCTGACCTGAACCCAATAGAACTTCTCATCTGACATCAGTACCTGACCTCACAAATGTGCTTCTGGAAGAATGGTCAAACATTCCCATAGACACACTCCTAATCCTTGTGGACAGCCTTCCCAGAAGAGTGGAGGATGTTAAAGCTGCAAAGGGCGTACAGTATAATTTTGTATCTTACTGTGCAGTGTTCTTATTGATGGTAAAACTGATTGCTTTGGTGAAGATGAATCAAGAAGTTCAGTAATTTTCACCCCATCATACAACTAAGACCACACCCTGAGATGGAAATGTTAGTCTGCCACACTACTTAAGGGGTCATTTTGCATTACCCTAAGAGGAGGAATGGCATTCAGAAGGGTTTTGAAAAATGACCAATGGATGGACTTTGAAATAAGAATGCTATTTTACATACAATATTTAGAAATAGAATATGAAAGTACCCATACAAGTACAAAAAAAAAGTTTGATGAACTTTAATACAGTGTTTGCTGTGCAGAAAATATTAGATTCTTTTATGGGCTAAAAGAGGTTTTAGAGGTGAGAGCAATATTATTGTTTCAGTGCACAGAAATCAGTGGTGTGTTAATATCTCTCTTTGCTATTCCACCTTCATTTTCAATATATTCAGTTCTGATAAGTTCCTGAAACATTAAATATTCATTAATGAATTATATTAAAAACTCTTTTGCATAAACCAACATGTTGTGTTTAGTGGCCCTTTAAACAATTAAAAAAATGTAAATGACATCTAAACAACATTAACAGGAGAGCCAAATATTGACAAGCAAAAAATAAACAGATCAAATTAGTAGCAGTCCAAGAAATAGATAATTAATAAGTTCAGTGTTATTAATCATGCTAATTAAGGTTTCCACATTCTAGGGCAGTTAGCATGGACAGGCAATCGGAGTATAATTAGCTCATCTGTAAATTGAGTGCTGCTGACTTTCACTTGACCTTGACAGTTGTTTACGATGGACCTTCCTGTCACTCTGCCTGTGCTGCTGTCACCACTCATTCATCACATGACTGACAGTGTCCATCAAAACTCAACTTCCTTGCTAGCTGGGCAGACCTGAAGGAAAAATAATAAATATTTTATTTTGGAAAGTAAGGAAATGAAATACTCATTCAGATTTAAATAGAATGATAGCTGTTTCTCCCAGTCTGTTATAAAGTTGTTTCCCGCATCAGCAGAGATGTTGAAATAAATTTCTAAATTATCATAAGGGTCTTGACAAGTTGGAAGTTTGTGGTTAAGTATTCTTACTTCATGAGTATATGTTCTCTGCATGTTTGTGCAGGCATACTGTGGGTTCCCTCGTTTACTGGAATACAAAAAAAAAAACACAACAAGAATACAAAGGGGATTTTTCTAGAAACTATTGTTAAAATATTGCATAATTTTATTAAAGAATCATTTAAAAGCATACACAAGGCTGATTTCTTTATGAATGATTCAACATTTTGATATATCAATAGAATCTCTCTGCCTGCCCATCATATTGCTAATTTAATTTTTTTTTCTTATTCAAAACAATGTATACAATACATATCAATTCAGAGATATTGATGCACGATTCAGAGGATGGGGAGATATTGGAGTTGATATACTAAAACTGGAGAGTGCAAAATCTGGTGCTGCTGTGCATGGTAGCCGATCAGCTTCTAACTTTAGCTTTTTCAATTAAAGTGGTTGTCAAGGCTCACCCTTCTGTGTACAGCAGTCTCCCCCAGCTCCCCTAATACTTACCTGAGTAATCCAGTGATGTACACAAGATCCTTGGCTGTCTGAAGAATCTCCCTCCTCATTGGCTGAAACAGCAGTGGGAGTAATTGGCTCCCCCTGCTGTCAATCACAGCCAGTGAGCCAATGAGGAGAGGGGGGGGCAAGCCGTAGCTCTTTGTGAGAATTTGGGATTGAGCCTGCCTGGGTGCCCCCCTTTGCAAGCTGTTTGCTGTGGGGGTACTCATCAGGGGGAGGGACCAAGGGCACCAGCATGGGACCCGAGAAGAAGAGGATTGGGGCTATTCTGTGCAGAACTACTGCACAGAGCAGGTTAGAAGGAAATGTTTGTTATAAAAAAAAAAAAACACATTGCCCTTAATAGTACTCCACTTTAGCGCCGCCACATAGCATAAATACTTCTACAGGGCAGCAGGTGTGCGCAAAATCAAGTATATATACATATACAGTATATATATATATATATATATGTGTGTGATTTTGCATTTCTGGGTAGGGAGAGCGCGCCCTACCCGCACTGTCATTTGTGGCCTCAGCTATCAATCACTGGGTCCCGGCAGGTAATTACTCACCAGCGCCCGGTGATTGCCGAGCATCTCCGACGGGGGGGGGAGGGTATTGAGAACTGTTTGTAAGCAACACAGTTCTCTCCCCTGTCAGCTCCTGCACACTGCTTTGCCATGCAAAGCAGTGTGCTGACAGTGAAACCCTAACACAGCACACTTAGTAAAACGGCACACAGCACACAGTTAACCTTTTGATCGCCCCCCTCCTGGCCAGTGCTATTAGTACACTTTCAGTGCTTTTTATTAGCACTGATCACTGTATTGGTGTTACTGGGGATGTCAATGACACCAAGACAGTTCTTCCCAGTGTCTGAATGTCCACCGCAGTCCCACTATAAGTCGCTGATCGCTGCCATTACTATTAAAAATTAAAAAAAAGCCCAGTATATATACCGCCATTTGTAAGCCCTATAATTTTCACTTATATTAATTAATTAACACATATTGGGATTTTTTTTTAGCAAAGACATGTCGCAGAATACATTTTGGCCTAAATTTATGATGAAATTTGATTTTTTTTAATTTTTTTACTGGACATGTTTAATAGCAAAGAGGCAAGAATTTTGTGTTCTCAAAACTGTCAGTCTTTTTTTATAGTGCAAAAAATAAAAACTGCACAGGCGACCAAATACCACCAAAAGAAAGCTCTATTTGTAGAAAAAAAGGAAGTAAATTTCATTTGGGTGCAGCATTGCATGACTGCGTAATTGTCAGTTAAAGTAAACACAGCGCCGTAATGCAAAAAATAGCCTGGTCAGGAAGGGGGGTAAATCCTCAGGAGGGCAAGTAGTTAAGCTTTGACAAAGAAACCTGGAAACTGATTGGTCTTTATGCACAGCTGCATCAAATTTTGCACTCTCCAGTTTTACTAAATCAACCCCACTGAGTTCTCACTGCATTTCATGAAACAAGGGTCCATTTCTTTAGGATGCAGAAGGTACTGTATATGCATTAAACACTGATTAAGATGTAACCTGTGAATGTGTGCTTTACACTATCAGGCAAGGAAACTGCAAGAAGGCAAAAGATGGCTCTGCTTTTGATAAGGCACATGGATAATGAAGGGCTGAAAATATATCCTGGGCATAAAATTCCAAACCAAGGGAGCTGTGGATGCAGTGTACAGCTTGCCATACAAGTGAATGGCCGTACACAGTCTTAGTCTTGTAAACGCCAATACTCCTGTGCATTAGCATTTACCCGCATATGTGTGCGTATAGCATATTTGCTAAACATGAACCTTCTGTGTTTGGAATATACATCATATGCTCATGCACAGGTGAACACCGATGCACTGAAGCATTTGTATTTAGCCACATACAGTCATTCACTTGTTTGGCAGGCTTTAGGTACACCTGTGTCCAGGGGGCAGACTGACAACTCATGGGGCCCCCGGGCAATGGGGGATCATGGGGCCCCTGTGTCCTTGCCCAAACTCAAAAAAAGCCTATGAAAAAGGTACCAGGGGCATCTCATGGGGCCCCCTACTGACCCTGGGACCTCGGGCAGTGCCGAGTTTCCAAATGGTCAGTCTGCCCCTGCCTGTGTCTCTCTGGGGATGCAGGAAAATGCCTGGTATAGTTTAATCATCTCACAATTTATGTGCATGAGGTCCAATATCTATGTAGTATCACTGGGTCATATATTTTTTACAGCCCACCAATATCTGCTGTAAATCCAATTAACATCCAGTTAATATGTCAAAAAAAGTTGGCAAGGTGATCACTAAAGAGGAAAATCACCACCATAAAAGGGATTATGGGATGCCCAACTTAATTGAATCAAAGCACGGGGACAATTTCCTTCCTATATACAGAAACAGATCCTGGACTGTTCTTTTCCTTGAAAGCTGTCAGTCTTTGCAGATCAGTAGCAACAGCCCCTTATAGGCGAGGAACTCGCAGCCCCACTGAAAAAATCAGCTCAGCTTGTCAATTACATTCAGAGATGTCTCTTCTCCCCTGTAGAACTGCTCCTAGATCCATAGGCTGCAGACACTACCTGCTACTACCTGCAGACTACTCCAGGCTGCTCTGAAGATCTATCAGAACAAGGATAAATGATTAAGCACAGCGCTGTCCTTTGAAAGCTTGCTACATGTGGCAGTCTCTCCCCTTGTGAATCCATGGGAGAGCTGATTTACTCTGTTCTCTTTGCTCCCACTGCTCCCAGGCCTTGATCCTGTACATGTCGTACTGCTGAATGGACCCTCCTGAAACAGCTTGAGCCCAGC